CCCATGGTGACAGCACCCTACGTGTCTGTCATTCTAAATATTTACACCATTCAGAGCATGCTCGCTCATGTGTGTGAATTTAGGTAATGTGACAATACGCTTAGATTCAAAACCCACAAAAAAGATGTGAAAATGTTTTCCAGATCAAGTCACATTACCAAAAGTTATTTTCTCCCAACTTACTGGGAATATAAACTTTTACTCTGTGGTCTGTGTGATGTCCAGAAGGGCAGATATCTTAATATCACCCACTAAACACTGGACGTCAGCTAGACGTGCAGATTTCATCTATATTGGGTCCATGACCAGTTCTGGATCTGTATGACGTCCAAAAGAGGTCCACAATTTGGACGTCCAACCACGATTTGGATGTCCATATGATGTTCAACCTTTGAACTTTGGACTGGGTCATTTGTTTTGGACGTCACATGAACATCTATGACAGGTGCAGGGAATTTACATAACTAATAAATGTATTTTTTTATTTACCAACATCAACATTGTTGTTGTCAACATGATACATATGAGTACAGATTATTTTTAAACAAGCACGATTTAACTGCCACTCAGTAAAATGTGTTGAAATATTAGAAAAGATGTAAAATAAAAACGGTTAAAGTGTTTCCTTTTAAAATGGGTACAATGTGTTTAATATGTTTTATAGAGCATTTGCATCATATATGGTTCATTTTTCCAAGTATCCTGTTTTATTGTAGCTTTGTAAGTGAATGTGGGTGAGACAGAAGTAGGAAAGTAGGAGACGTTTGTGCAAGTGTGAATGTATGAACTGGACTATCTGCTCGACAGGCTTTGTTGATATAATCTTGGAGATGTCTGCTTGTCACTCCCCATATGGAAAAGAAACAGTAAAAACTTCTACGATTTACTCATGAAAGTGGCCACTTTCTCATTACTTTCATATATTGCTTTAGTAAATATCCAAAACATACAAGTTTCATTTACATAATTTTTCAAGGGATCTTATATCTGTTTTCACTCTTGTATGCTTTTCATACAAGTTTCACACAAGA